TTGCACAGGTAGTGATAGTTTCGCGGACCACCTCGAAACACGTGCAAGGTAAATGTTAAAACAAACAAGTTTGTGGACATCTGCACAAAACATGTTTTGAAACTTTCTGACGCCTAGTCAAAGAATTTCAAAACGCATTTAGAGAAAAAGGAAACATGCAAACATGGAAAACATTTTCAAGGACGGTGGTCATACCACCTGTTGGCTAGGGATAAAAGAATATCACTAAAGTGAGATTGTCCTTAAAAACCTGGGACCTTAGCTCGATCGTGTTTCACTTCGGAGCCATGGATGGCCAGTATCGTGTTTTTTTCAGAAACCTCAGATTCGAGGTTACAAAGGCTGAGCTGGCGAGAGTATGCTGGGAGGCTGGTGTGCAAGCTCTGCAGCTGAATATCGTGCGGAAGGGGAACTATGGCAAGCAGAGGATGTGCAGTGCTTTTGTGGAGGTGGGCAGCAGTGGTGATGTGACCTGGTTGTGCCAAAGGCTGAATGGGTATCACAACTTCCTTGTGGCCGAGGTCCCTCTTCTGGTGGAGGCTGCTGAGCCGAGACGTGGAGGCAAGGGGGTGCCGCCAGCAGGTTGGAAGGGAGCTGCACCGAAGCAAGCACCAGCACCTGCACCGAAGCAAGCACCAGCACCAGCAGCACCGAAGCAAGCACCAGCACCGAAGCAAGCACCAGCAGCACCGAAGCAAGCAGCACCAGCACCGAAGGCAGCAGCAGCAGCATCAGCAAGTATGCTGAGTCCCACTTCGAGGGCTGGTTCTGGTGAGGAGGGCGAGGAGTCTGCTGAGAGGAGTTCCTCTTCCGATGCTGCTGGCTCTGATACCGAGCCGCCGTCGCCTGGGGTCGTGGTGGCTCGCTATGCGAAGAGGCGGAAGCTGCAGTACACTCCGACGGAGCCTGGAGATGTGGAGCCCGGTGTTAAGTCTGACTCGTCATCTTCGTGCTCGTGAAGCTCTTTTTTGGAGACTATATACAGCTGCTGCTTTTTGGGAGACAATATACAGATGCCTTTTTTGGGAGACAATATACAGATGCTTTTTTGGAGACTATATTCAGATGCTTTTTTGGAGACTATATACAGCTGCTTCTTTGGAGACTATATACAGCTGCTTCTTTGGAGACTTTTTCTGCTGCTGGCGCTTGTTGGAGGAGAGAAGCCGAGGCCGGGATGGAAAAAATAAGACACACAATATCCCCCCTAAACCATAAGCTTCAAAACCCCAAACCCTCAACCCTCCATTCAAGCGAACATACAAACCCCAACCCCCAAACCCAGTGTAGACCAATAAACCCGGAACCCCAAAACCCTAAATCCTCAAGCCCCAAAGGTAGTGAGACACACAGGGCTTAGGGGTTGGCCAATGCCAAAACCAATTCTAGGGTTTAGGACTTTAGGGCCTTTAGGGTTTGAGGATGTAGGGTTTAGGGGTTCCGGGTTTATGGTTCAGGTCTGGTTGAGACACACTGGGTTTAGGGGTTAGCCAATGCCAAAATAAATTCTAGGGTTTAGGGCTTTAGGGCCTTTAGGGTTTGAGGATTTAGGGTTTAGGGGTTCCGGGTTTATGGTTCCGGTCTAGTCGAGACACACTGGGTTGAGGGGTTGGCTAATGCTTCAAAACCAATTCTAGGGTTTAGGGCTTTAGGGCCTTTAGGGTTTGAGGATTTGGGGTTTAGGGGTTCCGGGTTTATGGTTCCGGTCTAGTCGAGACACACTGGGTTGAGGGGTTAATGCTTCAAAACCAACCATAAACCCGGAGCCCCTAAACCCTAAATCCTGAAACCCTAAAGGCCCTAAAGCCCTAGACCCCAGAATTGGGTTTGGCATTGGGCGGTTTGGGGTTTTAGACTTTGGAGGTGTCATTTGGACTTCGTGCATCGCAACATACTAGGCCCCAGCATCCGTTGCTTTCAAGGAATATCGCCACACTGTTTCGATAAAGGTTTTGTATGTTCGCGGGTACAATGTATGTCCCCGCGAACATACAAACCCCCGGCCTATGAGACCCCCTATATATGTATCGGTGTTGAAGTGTCGGTAATCAGACCACAAAAGACCCTCTAGGGTTTAGGGTGGTAGGGTTTGGGGACACCAGAAGCCCGATCTCCCGAAAACTTCTCGACCACAAACTCTGAATCCCTAGACCTCTAGGGCTTTAGGGTTGAGGGCTTTAGGGCCTTTAGGGTTTGAGGATTTGGGGTTTAGGGGTTCCGGGTTTATGGTTCGGGTCGAGTTGACACACACAAAACCTTAAACCCTAGAGCCCTCAACCCTAAAGCCCTAAACCCTAAAGCCCTAAACCCTAAAACCTTAAACCCTAGAGCCCTCGGGTCTAGTGAGACACACAGGGCTTAGGGGTTGGCCAATGCCAAAACCAATTCTAGGGTTTAGGGCTTTAAGGGCTTTAGGGTTTAGGGCTTTAGGGTTGAGGGCTCTAGGGTTTAAGGTTTTAGGGTTTAGGGCTTTAGGGTTTAGGGTTTTAGGGTTGAGGGCATTAGGGTTTAAGGTTTTAGGGTTTCAACCCCCCAAACCTGTGCAGGTTGGTGCTCCGAGTGTTTCACAGCTTTGCACAGAGCGAGTTCCCGGAGGGTTGAAAACACAGAGTGCTACCCGTGGAGAGATGTGTTCCCTTTTGCAGCCCCGACAGTTAAGTCACGGCGAGAAACCTTTAGGAGTAATTAGGAGTATGGTGGCTGGGCAATCATATTTCGAAGAAGAGTTTAGCAAACTTTTACAACCGACTGTAGCAGTTTAGTAGAAATTTCTATCAAACTTCTAGTGGCCATTGTAGCAGTTTAGTAGAAATTTCTAGCAAACTTCCACTGACGAGTGTAGCAGTTTAGTGGAAATTTCTACTAAACTTCCACTCGCCATTAGCAGTCTATTAGCAGTTTTGTTGGTTGGCAGTAGCAGTTTTAAAATGTAAATATTATATATTCTCTAGGGAATATTGCCATAGGAGCTAAAACTGCTACCAAACTGCTTCCCAAACTACCATCAAACTGCTAGCAAACTTCTCCCAAAGTGCTAGTAGCAGTTTTGTGGAAACTTCTATCAAACTTCCACTGTGGTGGCTGTAGTGCTCTCATCCAGCTGCATCGGTGCAGTAGCTTTTCTTGCCGTGCTTCGTGTGCTCGCGAACTAGAAGTGATGGTTCTTTCGAAGATGTTGAAGAAGCCCTCGGCGAATTTGCCTACGGGAAAGGCCAAGGCGAAGGGCAAAGCCAAGGCTGTCAAGGAGGACAGTTCCTCCTCGTGCAAGAAAGGCTCCATGAATGATTCCATCCAGCGGATGAAGAGCTCGGCCTGCCTTGGTGCCAAGGCCGAGGCCGATGATAGCATGGATGTGGACGAGCCCGAGGCCGAGGATGATGCCTTCGTTGCCCGTGACAAGGGCTTTGCCTTGAAGTTCCAGAAGATGAAGAAAGATTTGCCGGGCTATGTCGTGGATTTGATAGAAACTCAGTCTGCGAAGGCGGCCCATCCCAGGGATTTCAAGAGCCGCATGATTAACAAGCTCTTCACAAGAGAATCTCGGAACATATTTCGAGCATAATCTTTCCATTCTTGGGGCATGGATTGGTTAGGTTCTGGCAGCACCACCACCAGAACCTTAACCCGAAACCCCAAACATGACTATGCTCCCACAACTAGTATCCCTGGACCCCCAAGCCGTGGTAGTATATTGGGAGCATTTGGAGCAGCAGTAGTAGTAGTAGTAGTAGTGGTGTATTATAGTAGTACAGTAGTATACTAGTGCTAGTACTGATTAGTCGTTGTACTCTAGAACGAGAACGATAGCACACAGCTGTGTCACATCTTTGAATCTTCTCTGTATACTGTAAATTCCCTACTGTCATCTTAGGCCGACTAATAGTATGCCATTTTTTTTGGCTTGGTCGATTCCTGCTTTTCTCTTTTGTGATATCTATGTATTCCACAGCAAGGACAACAGCGGGAAGATCCACCTGAACCTGAATGACCCCTGCTTCAAAGAACACAAGAAGCTCTTCAACGAGAACTTCAGCAAAAGCTCGGAGATCGCATACCCTGAGTCCATCTTCAAGGGTATGTTCTATGCCGGCAATGACGACAAGTTCGAGGCTGCCTTGGCCAAAGGAGAGATTTCCGAAGCAAAGAGCACGATCCCGGGTGTGAGATTCTTCAGCTTTCACACCTTCAAAGCTGTGCAGAAGGTTGGGAGCCGTGAGGAGGAGGAGCTCACCTCCTCCGGGAGGGTCACGAAGGAGGAGGCCAAGATCATGGCCGAGGTTTTTTCCAAGATGGGCTGGAGGATCAAGCACACCACGGATGAGACCAAGAAGTTTGCCAAGGGCGGTGCGGTCCCGACGAACATCGAGGCAGTTCTTAGCACTGCTATGGATGCTCAAAGCAAATTGAGCAACGATGCGATGTCTCTGTTGAAACGATGGAGCGGCAGCGATGATACGACGAGGAGCCTGCGAAAGCATCACAAGCTCAGCCAGGAGTACCTTGTGAAGCTCAAGCACATCAAGGAGTTCCGCGAGCTGCCGGATGACGAGGAGCTGAACAAGCCCAACTTCGACAAGTTCCTCATGGCTATCGCCCAGCACACGGAGGAGTTCAATGTGCTGGTTGAAAGCAGCAAGGGAGCGATGAGAGCGAAGAGCAATTGATACATCTTAGATGTCATCAAGAGCATCAGATTTTGATGATGAGCATCGTATGATCGGCTTGAGCTGACCGGCTATGCAGCTTAGGCTTCTGTGCACTGCTGTACCTGCTGTGTGTGCTGCCGACAAACCTTTTGCCACCACCGGTGCTACACGGTAGCTTCTGGCTGCTTTTTGAGGGGGCCACGAAAGCTGAAGCCTCAACAGTAGCCGAGGGCATACCGGGCTTGATAGACGGTTTTTTTCGATCTTCCTAGCTGCTTTTGATAGACAGTAGAGGGTTTGATAGACGAACTTTTTCGATCCCCCTAGCTGCTTTCATAGACAGTAGAGGGTTTGATAGACGGTTTTTTTCGATCTTCCTGGCTGCTTTCGATAGACAGTAGAGGGTTTGATAGACGATCTTTTTCGATCTTCCTAGCTGTTTTCATAGACAGTAGAAGGTTTGATAGACGATCTTTTTCGATCTTCCTAGCTGCTTTCAGAGACAGTATAGAGGGTTTGATAGACGAATTTTTTCGATCTTCCTAGCTGCTTTCACAGACAGTAGAGGGTTTGATAGACGGTTTTTTTCGATCTTCCTAGCTGCTTTCATAGACAGTAGAAGGTTTGATAGACGATCTTTTTCGATCTTCCTAGCTGCTTTCATAGACAGTATAGAGGGTTTGATAGACGAACTTTTTCGATCTTCCTAGCTGCTTTCACAGACAGTAGAGGGTTTGATAGACGGTTTTTTTCGATCTTCCTAGCTGCTTTCATAGACAGTACAAGGTTTGATAGACGATTTTTTTCGATCTTCCTAGCTGCTTTCATAGACAGTATAGAGGGTTTCATAGACGATTTTTTTCGATCTTTCTAGCTGCTTTCATAGACAGTTTTTGTTCCAACTTCCTATAGCTGTATAACCCTAAACCCTAAACTCTACTATAGCTGCTTTCATAGAGAGCTTGTGTCGATCTTGAAAGTGGCCCCCTGTGCAGCTGTGAATGCTATGCACCCAGCCGGGAAAGTCTCGCTCGAACCGAAGCACTCTCGATGAAATCGGCGCTTTTTCTGGACGATCTCGATACAAGCCTAAACCACCCGACTCTCCCCTACTATCTTTATAAAAGCCTAAACAACCCGACTATCTTTATCAAAGCCCAAACAACCCGACTATCTTTATACACAAGCCCAGCCAACCCGATTATCGTTATTTTTATGCCCAAACAACCCGACTATCTTTATCAAATCCCCAACAATCCCGACAACCTTTATACACAAGCCCAGACAACCCGATGATCTTTATGTGTAAGCCCAAAAAGCAGCTGGACCCCGAACCTTCAGTTCGAGAGCTTCCTTATATGAACACCCAAACCACCTTGGACCCTGAACCTTCACTTGGAGAGCTACTGTGAGAGGACTAGGCTAGTGTATTCCAGAATGTTCCCTAAGCCCTAAGCCCTAAACCCCAAACCCTAAACCCTCACCCCTGAATCTCTACCCATCCACCCAAAACCTTACAAATCCCAGGATGTCTAGCAACAACCACAACAAAATCCTACATCCCAACAGAAAGCGCCGAGGAGCCCCTTCCCTCTGCATACAGTCCCTCCTGCACCTTAAGCCATAGCCCTAAAACCACAAATGCACCCATGACTGAGCCTGTATCCCTTATTTTTGATTACATGTCCTTAAACATTCCCCCAACTCCAAGCTCGAACAGTCAAGCTCGAACCCCCAACCCCCGAATTCCATAAAACCCCCACCCTCCCACGAAAATTTAACTAACCCACCAACCGAGAGCTCGAAAGCACCTTGGACTCCAGGCCCATTGCAGCCTTTTGGCTCTTTTTCAGATGTTTAGAACATGGAAAGCTCAAAACCTCAACTTCCCAGCCTAGAACCTCGAGACAATGTGAGCATGCTATTCATAAATGTCGTATAAATTCTGTTGGGATGGACTTTGAACCCTATAAGACCTCAAGTCGCAAACCCATGAGCCGAATTCTTATGGTAACCCTCGAGCCCTGAGAACCCTTCAGCCTCAGCCCTTTAACCCCCCAAAACCCTAAACCCCCCAAGCCCCGAAAACCCTCGTGAATCCCAAACCCCAAAACCCCTAAACCCCAAACCGGCTTCAGCAGCTCAGATGAGGTGTCGGGCTGCTTTGGAGTCTAGGTTGGAGGGGTCTCCAGGGTTTTGAAGGAATTTCTGTAATATACAGGTTAATAGAAGGATTCGCAAGGGTTTGTATATAGGTTTAGAGATACGAGTTCGTCTAAGGGTGTGGGTGAGGGTTCCAAAGAGTTTCTATATACAAGGGTGAGAGCACAATTATGTGTATATAGGGGTGAAGTATATAGGGTTTGGGGATAGGGCTTTGGGGTAGGGTGCTTGCGAGGTTGTGTGGTTTTAGATTTGGATATAGGTGTTGTGACGGCTTTGGAACAGATAAGCAGGGCCTGAAGCCAAGCTTTAAACCCACAACAACCCCACTACCCTAAACCCTGACCCTAAACCCTGAAAACCATAAGGCCTAGACCCTAAACTTTGTGCTCCAACCGTGACCCCAACACCTTGCAAAGACCCTCCCCAAAGAATGCCGGTTGCCCGTCATCACATGAACCTCAAGTGTGCTCCTCAAGGGATGTCACACAGCATACAGAGATTTGGACTTGTTTTCCACGGCACACACTGAAGGTATTTTACCATTGTTCATTGTCATGCTATGCTCTCATAGTGGACCCTCAATGTAGACTCTCATGGTATGCTCTCATAGTGGACCCTCAGTGTAAACTCTCATGGTATGCTCTCATGCTGGACCCTCAATGTAGACTCTCATGGTATGCTCTCATGGTGGACCCTCAATGTAGACTCTCATGCTTGACTCTCAAAGTACACTCTCATGGTATATATACTCTCATGGTATCCTCTCATAGCATGCTGTGATGACACACATCTTTCATTATAGCTATGATACACACACACTCTCTCTCTCTCTCTCTCTCCTGGTAGACCCTATTTAGAGTTTTCCCTATGTCTACAAACACATAAGTAGATCCTGCACTTATCAGTCTCAATGGCTGCTCCTCCGGAAAAAAAAAAAGAAAGGGTGGGCTCAGGCAACGACTGCAACAACAAAGAGAGGACACAGCTCAAACCTCGGAGCTTGCCAGTTATCTGCTGGAAGAATGCTTCTGGGGATCTATGTCGCCGCAACAGTTGCAACGAATAGCTTCGTTGGCATTGAAGGATGCAGAAAAGATAAAGGACAGTGGCGAATTCCCTCATGACCTTCAGGTTTTGAGCAGCTTGGGTACAGATGGTTTGTATTCCAACAAGATGTGGGGCGATTTGGTTCGACATATCTCTCCCAATGTCAAGCTTCCACAGCCGATGACTGTAAAGATTCCTTGCAAGGCAGGGTTAGCGACCCAGCCGATCATGTTGCCTCACGAACTTCTGGCCGACATCTACGAGAAGTTTCCAGCTGTTTGGGTTCAGGTTGTGAAGCCGTCGGATAGCCGAGCCGAGCAGTTTTGGTCATCCGTGCAGGGCCATCCTGCAATGGAATCAAGTCCAATTCTTTCTCGACCAAATTATCGGCAGCTTTGCCTGCCGCTTGCCGTTCACGGTGATGCAGTTCCAATCACAGGTGTGGGAAAGGGTTGGTGTCAGCAACTGACCGACCTGTCCTTCATGAGCCTTTTGGGACTTGGCTCTGTGAAAGAGCTGTTGTTTTACATGGGTGGTTTCTGGGAAAAGCTACGAGTCATGTCAAATGACATGAATGGAACAGCTCACAAGTTCATGGCAGTGCTTGCATGGTCGTTTGGCATCCTGTGGGAAGGTGTTTGGCCATCCAGAGACTTTTCAGGCAAGAAGTATCTTGGAGGGATTTGTGAACCTTTTCTCTTTCGTCCCAAAGTCTAAGCCCTTCCTGTTTAAGGCCTGGACCACAATACAAGGTACCCGGCAGGAAGTAAGGAAGCTGGCAGAGCTGGGCAGCCTTTGTTGGGTGGGCATTTTGCCTGCCTGTTCTCCTTGCAAGGCGACTTAGACTATTATGCATCAGTGCTCGATCTGCCAAGAAGTACACTGGCCTCGGGGCCCTGTGCCCTCTGCCGATGCACGAAGTTCGGCCCACATTCGTGGCAAGATTTTCGAACATCGGCAGCATGGAGAGACACATGTTGGAAAGCTTCCGAATGGAAAATGTGGTCTGACAAATCTTCATGCCCCCTACTGCGACTTCCTACTTCCAATTGTTGGACTGTAGCCCTCGACTGGCTACACATCAAGTATCTCGGCATGGATCAGTTTCTATATGCAAGCATCATCTTCTTGCTGGTTTTTTATGTGCTTCCTGGAACACCGGAGCAAAACATGGCTTCATTTTGGCAGGCCTTGCAGAAAGAATACTCATCTTTGGATACTCCCTGCCGCTACAGATACCTGAACAAACTCAGCATGATAGTGCGAAAGCAGGGCAGCCCCAAGTTAAGGGGAAAGGGGGCAGAGATACGACACCTTCATCTGCCTCTCCTCAACATTTGGGCGGCCAACATGAACACAGCTTTGGAAATGCATCGCAAAGTTCACCTCCTCCTGAAGTTGAATGCCAGAGCAGAGCAGCTTTTGACTCAGCACCGTGAGCTTTTTGCACTCCCTGCAGAAGATGCAGCGACGTTTCAGACCTGTATCGACGGACTTCTCATGCTGCAGCACAACCTACGAGAACATTTCTCGGAGGAGCCCGAACACCTTTTCAACATTACCGAAAAATCTCATTTTGTGCAGCATTGCTCCATTCTGGCTCGCCATGTTTCACCAAGGCTTCTCTGGTGCTTTTCTGGAGAGGACCAACAGAGACGAGTCCAGGAACTCACACAGGCATCGGTGAAGGGCAACGGCCCTGCTTCTGCTCTTTTGAAGGTTGCAACAAGATACAGATTGGCTCTACACCTTCAGTTTCACAAAATCGAAGCCCGAAGGGCTTGAAAGGTGGAGGGATGTGCGAAGATGTGAGAAGGGAATGTGACCTGTGATGCTTGACTTTGTCTGTAAGCCTGGACCGAGAGCCCCGAGCTTCTGAAGCCCAACCTTGAATCTCAACCTAGACCGCCAACCCTACACCCTACATAAATAAACCCCGAACCCAACAGCCAAACCCAAACCTTGATCTCAACTTCTATATTTAGGGTTTAGGGTGTAGGGTTTAGGGTTTAGGTAGACTGCCAACCCTACACCCTCTAGAAACCCTGAACCCAAAAGCCAAACCCAAACCTTGAATCTCAAGCTAGACTGCCAACCCGAAATACACCCTGTAAGCCCTCATGCCTAAACTCTAAACCCAAACCTTGAATCTCAGGTTAGACTACCTACACGGCCCTACACCCTGTGAACCTCAAACCGTGAAGCCCAAACCAAGACACAACACCCAAGACTTACAACATGTATAGACTTCAATTACACAACACACACAACAGACACAGAAAAACACACACACACAGACAGACACACAAACACACACACACACACACACACCCAACACAACACCCACAACACAACACACAACACACAACACACACACACAACACAGAACACACAACACACAACCCACAACACACACACACACACAACACAGACTTACACACAACAACACCAGAGATTTGCAGCAAAATACACTTTCAACACACCGACAAAAGGGTAGCAGTTTCGGCCGGGCACCGAAGCAGTTTAGAAGCAGTTTCACTAGCAGTTTTGCTTTCGCGAATTGGATTCGGAGGCAAATTTTCACTATGAATCTATCTCTCGTTTTGACTTTGCGAGGACCCGCTTTTAGATATGAGACTAACTCAAAAAATTTTAGCTTTCCCTCCGAAGCTAAAATGCAGATCTATTTTGCGATTTAGCTTTTTTGAAGAAATATCCTTTTTTCCCTAAAAAGGGATTCGCAACTTTTTTGGATTAGCTGGTCTATTGGGTGGGACCAACGCCGCAGGAGTGGCCGCCAACGCCGCCGCAGTGGCAGTGCTGCAGGCCGAAGTGGCCGGGCTGCCTGGCCCGCCGGACCTGACTCACTACGCGCTGGCTGCCGACCTCGCGGCAGCCGAAGGGCAGCTGGCCGCGAACCAATCCAGTTTGACGGCCCTGAGCACCAGCCTCACCATGGGCTTGGCGGGGAAGGCCAGCCAGAGCGTGCTGGACGCCCTGCAGCTCGAGGTCGACGGCAAGAGCACGCCGGCTTCCGTCGACGCCAACCTGGCGAGCTACAGCAACACGGCGGCCATGAGCAGCGCCATCGCGAGTGCCAACAACGCCACGCTGGCCGCCGTGGGCAGCAGCTACGCGCTGCGCACCGTAACGGACCAGCTGGCCCTGGACCTGGCCGCCAAGCAGTCGGGGGCCGATGTGGACCAAAAGATTGCCACGGCGCTGCTGGACCGGCCCAGCACGACTGATCTGAACGCGGCCGTGGGCCTGCGCACCTCGCCCGCGGACGTCGACCAGAAGCTCGCCACGGCGCTGCTGACCTTCGTCACGCAGGCGGCCCTGGACGCCGCGCTGGCCCTCCGAGATGGGCGCTTGGACGCCGCCGAGGCTTCCGTTGCAGCTCTGCAGGCCGCGGGCTTCCAGACGGCTGCTCAGGTGGCTTCCACGCTTGCCACTGCTTTGCTGAGCTACACAGATTCCGCGGGCGTGAATGCACTGCTGGCGGTGCGGGACGGACGCTTGGACGCCGCGGAGGCTGCCGTTGCCGGCCTTCAGACGGCGGGCTACCAGACCTCAGCGCAGGTCGCCAGCGCCATCGCCACGGCCCTGCTGCCTTACGTCCAGCAGACCGGGCTCGACGCTGCTCTGGGCCTGCGCGACCTGCGGCTGGACACCGCCGAGGCCAGCATCCTGGCCTTGCAGGGCGCCGGGCCTTTCGCTAGCGCCGCCGACCTGGATTCCTTGGAAACCAGCCCGCAGAGCGCAATCGACGCCGTGCTGGCGCAGCTGGCGGTGCTGGCCGCGGGAGCCGTGCAGAATGCGCCGGAGTGGGCCGGGCAGACCACCTGCGAGCTGCTGGTGGGCGCCAGCACCCTGCGCCGGCTGCACGTCACGGCTCCGCTGAGCATCAGCCTGCAGAACGAAGACCTGACCTTGAGCAT